AGAGTGGACACCACTGGACACGACTGACCACATGTGCGGCCGAACCTATTGCTCGCTCTCCAGAGACGCCATCACTTGTGCCGCCGCTTACAAGACATGCGATGGCAGACAATACGGACGATGCGATTGGTTTGAAGGCAACCAAACGCCAGACAATCAAACGAGACATTCATATGAACCACACTTTAACCAAACGAGTGGTCATTATCTGCCAATTGTGGTGAAGAAGAGAGCCGTCGACTCCACCGCTGACGCCGAGGAGAGAGCGTTGATATCAATGCGTTGGGGATTAACCCCTCATTGGATCAAATCGGGTGACTCTTCGTCTAAATTGAATCCCATTAACTGTCGCTTCGAGACAATGACTTCGAAGAATACATTCAGTTATCCTCTGAAGAGTGGCAGACGTTGTGTTGTATTAGTCGACGGATTCTTTGAATGGAAGACAAATAAAGACAATTCAAAAGATCCGTATTTTCTGTATTTTCCGCAAAAATACGTTGACTTCAAGAGTCGTTCCGCGGATTCAATAAAAAGAGAGTGTGAGTCGAGTGAAGACAATGGATGGTTAGGTCCGAGACTTCTGACTATTGCCGCCATTTATAACAAGAATGTCGACAATTCGTTCAGTTTCTCAATCATAACGGTTCCCAACCATTCGAGTCTCGATTGGCTTCACAGCCGAATGCCTGCCATTCTTGACTCCGAAGACAGTGTCAGAGATTGGCTCGACTTCGATAGGGTGTCCGCCGAAGAGGCCGTCAAACTGTTGGTATCGTTTGGAGGACTTGAATATCATTTGGTCTCACGTTTGGTATCGAATACCAGAAACAATTCAATTGAGAATATTTGGCCACAAAAAGCCAAAACCAAACAGAAAACCATTGATCACTGGTTTAAGGCATCGAAATCTGACAACTCGTCCACTAATGAGACAATTGTTGGCATCAAAGAAGAAGACACCAAAGATTGCCATACATTTGAAGCCAAAAAAGTCAAACTATAAATTGATTTATGTTTTCACTTCATTAACACTTTAAAAGTATTTATTGTTATTAAAGTAAATGTATTTTTCTATAAATCTGTTATTAATTACTTATTATTGTATCAAAATATTTAATCGTTAATTATTTCTGTAATGAATATAAACACCATTTGAATAAAATATAATTAATTTCAATACTTATTCTTATTGTCAATCAATTTATTTGTCTATTTTATTGTAAATTAATTTCAAGTGATATTTATTTGATAATAAGTTAGCGTTAAATAATTATTATCAAAACTTTAGTCACCTCTTACTGTATATCACTTGAATTTAATTCATGATTTTGTTAATTCATTTACAAAATGATTATTCATTTAAAAAACAAAACTTTCTACAACTTAGGAACTCCTTCACAAAAAAGTATTTTCAATCAATTAAAATGATTTTTGTAATATTTTTAAAAACATTCAATTTTAAAAATGTTTTTTGCGACGACTGCTAGAGTTTCTCACATGTTGTGACCAAATCTGGCAAAAATAATTATTATTTAAATACAGATGTATTAATAATACAGTAATTCTTATAAATCTTCCGGTTCTTCATATCGGTTATTTATTAAAATAATGATGTCTTTAATAATATAACAAAATATCATTTCATTGAACACTTTATTTTAAATATAATTTAAATCATTAATAAACAGATAAACCAATAAATATTTACTTAAATCTTCTTAAACTTCAAGGTTTTTGATAATTATAACAGTAAACAAAAATTGACAAAATCTTAAATTTCCAAAGTTTGCAAAGATATACAAATTGCAGAAATGGAGACAACTATTAAATTTTCAAGTCTTGAAAAATCAATTAAAGTATTAATTTTATTAAACAATAACCGATTTGTTAATAATTGAGTTTAATATAAAAACAATTTTATAGCATAATTAATCAAAACTGATATCTTTTCATAATATTCAAAATATAACTTATGATATAAATATTGTAATTTATAATTGTTATTAAATATTTAATTACTTTTAATTAAATTTAATTAGATTGTGCTAAATAAAACTTAATTTAAACCATTTATTGAATCATGTTTTTCAATGACAATTATGTATTACTAGATTGAAGACAGTAAGCTATGGGGCGGAAGATTCGAGAAAGGATTGGATCCATTGATGGAAGAATTTAACGCTTCCCTCAGATTTGACAAAAGGCTGTATTCGGCGGACATTACAGGAAGTATTGCTTACGCGAAGGCTCTCCGCAAATGTGATCTTTTAAAAGGTATAAAACTTTATTAGAGTTTATTATTTATAAAAGTAATAAAATTATAATTTAATTATTTTGACAGAAAATGAACTAAATTTAATAGAAGAAGGATTAGAGAATATACGGAGCGAATGGCAGACCGGGATGTTTGTGATCAAAGAGGGTGACGAAGACATACATACGGCTAATGAAAGGCGACTAAAGGTTTAACAATGATATAAATGCATTTATTAGTCAGCAATTAATTGAGTTCATTATCATGAGTGATCAGGAATTGATTGGCGCTGATATCGGAGGCAAACTGCATACCGGCCGCAGTCGTAACGATCAGGTGTCCACTGATATGAAAATTTGGTTAAGGGATTCAATTAAAGAATTGCATAAATATATGCTTAAACTCATTGAAGTAATCATCAAAAGGAGTCTGCAGTGAGTTTGATAAGTGAAACCTTATTTGTGACAATAAAATGAATACAATTTTTACTGATATAAGATACACGGATGCAATAATGCCGGGCTATACACACCTACAACGGGCACAACCCGTATATTTTAGCCATTGGTTGCTGTCGTTTGCATTCATGTATCAACAGGACTGCGAACGACTCCTAGCAGTGTTGGATCGGATGAATGTGTGTCCACTCGGAAGCGGTGCCATCAGTGGTAACCCTTTCAATATAGACAGAGATTTTTTGGCCAAAGAATTGGGATTCAAGTCATGTTCGATGAATAGCATGCATGCGGTCGGCGATCGAGACTTTGTGGCAGAATTCCACTTCTGGTCTTCGCTAACAGTTATACACTTCAGTAAAATGGCTGAAGATTTGCTTCTCT